CGCGGCGCAGACCCTGGACCCCACCGGCCGAGGCCGGCCCCTCCCGAGCCCGATGGTGCCCGGACCCTTGTCCCAACCCCCTGCGCTCTGGCTGGCCGCACCGGGGGCGCCTCCCTGCTGCGAGGGGCTGGGGCCTGTCACCCAGACACCCCGTCGCCGATCCTTGCGTCGCAGTCAGACGTGAGGGAAGGCGGGGCGAGAGCCCGGCTTCACCCAGCCAGCGCCGCCCCCCTCCCCCCACTCCTGTGGTTCCAAACTGGAAGCCCCCCCCTTCTGCTTTTATGAGAAGGGGATCCAGAAGTAGGGCCAGCCCCTCCGTGGGGGGCCCTGCCCTCTTGGTGGTCACAGCGCTGACCATGGGCATGGCCTGCTTTAGGACAGGTGGAGGGAAGAGCATTTAGGGCAGCCCCGCCCCCCAACTTCACGGAGGAGGAAGGTGAGGTCCTTGCTCCTTACGCAGTCCTGGCAGCCACCGAGCACCTCCAGTACCTGATCTTACCTCATCAGTGCGGGGCTGTTACCCCCTCTGTAGCTCGGAAGCAGCCCCAGGAGGTCCTGACTCCCCCCGCCACACCCCACACCCCGCCTCCGGCCTTCCAGGAGCGCAGGCCCCAGCGAGGGGCGCCAGGGGGTGGGGAGATACCTGGCGCCCACCTGAGCCACCCGCAGACTCCAACCCAGGCCGTGGACGTGGCCAGTGGCTCTTTCCGAGACGGGCCCGCTGACCCCGGCGTCCCCTCCCCCACAGGGGGACGGGCGTCCTGCTGGAGGGGGAGCTGGTGGACGTGTCCCGCCACAGCATCACGGATGACCACGGCAGGAAGGTGAGGGGCTTCCTCAGCAGCTCTGCGGGCTCCACCAGGACAAGACTTGGGGTCCAGCTTTTTCCTTGAGGGGCTCACGGAGGCTGGTGAGCCGCCCGTGGGAGGGACAGTGAGGGCCTCGCCAGCAGCAGCGCCAGCAGCAGCGCCGGGGTCTGCTGGGGCCGGAGCTGAGCCCTCGGGCCCTGCCGCTCTGTCAGGGTCAGGTCAGTGCCAGGAAGCCTGGGCCGGCCCGGGGCCGTCTCCTGCGTGGGCAGCTGCGAGGGAGCCGGCACGCTCCTCTGCTCTGGCCCAGTGGTTCCTGCCGTCCCAGGTCCGAGGCTGAGCTGGGGGTGTTGCGTGGGAGCAGTGCACAGAGCGCCCCTTGCTGGGTGCCCACTCAGCCTCTGGGAAGTCCTGTGCCCCCGGGGCGCCCTGGAGTTAAATGACACTTGAGTCTGGGGTCACTTGTACCAGCATTTTTTCTTTCTGCGGGGTCCATGTTTTTCTTTTGGCAAAGTCCTGAACATGCATGGCCTGTGGCCATGACACAGACAGTGGACTCTGCCCCAGCTCAGAGGGGCCCAGGGCCTGGCCGACACGCTGTGGACGGGCAGCTGACTGGTCAGCATTGCTGGCATTGACCAGCGTGGAGAGCGTGGGGTGCCCGGCAGGGGCCGGTCCTGGCACACACAGGGCACCGGCCAAGCCCCACAGCTGGCTTCACAGGTGCCCGCCCGTCCACTGGGAGACCTCTGGGCCAGTCAGCAGTCCAGGGAGGGTCCAGCTTCAGGGCCCCTTGGAGATGGACCATGCTGTGGTGGGCGGGTCAGCAGGCTGGAGAGGTCTCGCCTTCTGGATCATTATTATCTTTTGGGATGCCTGGGCCGGGTCTTGGGGCCCCAAAGCTGCAAAATTTCTCAGAGCACCTCCTCCCAGGCTGCTCTCAGTGACCCAGGGGTGCCCTCAGAGTCCCCAGCTTTGCATGCTCATGGTGACCCCTGTCCACCACAGCGGCCAGAGGGAGGCTTCTTCCACATTCCCGGGAAGCCCCAACCCAGTAGTGTCCCCCCGTACGGGACAGTCCATCCATGACTTGGGGGGTGCCGCTGGACGTGCTCAGGAGCCAGTTGTGGGGCGCCCAGGATGGTCAGTGTGGGTCAGCAGCCTCTGCCTTCTGGTGCTCTGCGGGGCCGGGCCTGGCCCATCAGGAGGGTCTGGCCTGGCGCCGCAGTCCCTGCCTGGATGCTGCACCACGAAGCTCCACGCAGGCCTGGGAACCGGACGGCGGCATTTGGAGCCTCCAAGCCCAGTCCTGCCCCAGCCACGGGTCTGGAACCCGCAGCACCACTGTCCGAGCCCCGGGAGCTCCGTGCTGGACGGCCCTTGACTGGCCCTTGGCCACGAAGTGTCCCTCGGGCCCTCTCCAAATGTGCCTCTTGAGCCCCTCCCTGGAAAGGGGCTCTGGCCCGGCCGCCGCAGGCCTGTGGCCCCCGCTGTCCCCCGCCCGCCTGCTCCCGCTGCCCTCTGGCCGTGCCGCCTGCCCTGTCCCGGCTTCCTCCTCCGCCCTCACCCCGGAGGCCCATGTGCCGCCTGTGCTGACGAACACTGCAGTGCCCCCTGCCCCGGCTGCCAGGGTAGTTCCTGGGGGCACCTCAAGGACCCTTCCCGATTCCCTCGTCTGCCAGGGAACCCGCAGCCCCGGTGCCAGCCCCGGGCCTCCAGCCAGGCCCACCTGTGGCCCAGCCCGGGCTTCTGCGGCCTCCCGGGCCCGGGCCCGCAGAGTGCACACGGGCCTGGCTCACTCCCGACACCGTCCCAGGCTCCGCGCCGAGCCCCAGGTCTGGGCTTCCCCGGTGTCTTCCCTGTCCTCCACCAGCTTTGACCAGAGCAGCGGGCAGCGCCACGGGCCCTCGGCCCTCCGGTGCTGGCGCCGCTCGTCAGGGACCCTCGCAGCCTTGCGGGAAGTGGACGCCCGGGCCCTCCGCGGGGCACCGGGAGCGACTGGCCGCACCTGTCGGAGGGTCCGTGAGAGCCGCGCAGAGGCCCTGGGCCGCCGTCCACGGCTGCGCCGCCCTCCCGCCTCTCCCCTCACAGCGGCGCCGGCGTCTGTCTGGCTGAGCGCGGCCTCGCCGCCCCGCACGGTCTGCCGGCCCCCGCTCCTTGGGGGTGGCGGGCTGGGGTGACGCCCCCTCTGCCTGCCGCCAGGAGCGCTACTACGTGCTGTACATCAGGCCCAGCCGCGTCCATCGCCGCAAGTTCGACCCCAAGGGGCACGAGATCGAGCCCAACTTCAGCGACACCCGGAAGGTGAACACCGGCTTCCTCATGTCATCTTACAGTAGGTGTCCGCCACCCCCCCCCCCGCCGGCCTGGGGACGCCCCGGGGCTGGGTCCTGCCTGCCCCGTCTCCCCGGCCCCCATGTCTGAGGCCGCCCCGCCCCTGCATCTGAGGCCTGGCTGGCCTTCAGCAGGCCAGGCGGCAGGGCTGGGAGGTGTGTGTGCCCTGAGGCCCGGGAGGGGCGCGGGGGACAGGTGGTGCCGCCCCCCCCAGTGAGGTCCGGGCACGGTGCGATGCTGGGGGCTGGGGGCCCCGGAGGCCGGTGGCCAGGCCAGAGTGGGCAACTCGTTGAGGAGAGATCTGGAGGGCGGGGTGGGGTCTGGGGCCCAGGCAGAGGAATTGGCTTGATGGAGGAAAGGGACCCCAGCTTCTTCGAGCAAGGGAAGGAGGGGAGGCTTTGCGTGGCTGTAGGTAAGTGGGCCCCCCGGATCTGCTTGTGTGGGGCTTGCAGGGTCTGCAGGTGGGGCTGATGGGACCCTGGCTAAGCCTGAGAGCCCGCCAAGGTGGGGGACAGCAGGCCGCGCCCCGTCTGTGCCTTCACTCACCCCCCACCCCCGCCCCCCCATCTGCTCCTGGCTCCAGCAGCGCCCACCCTGGAGAGAACCCTGCCTGGCCCCTGGTCTCAGTGGGGGGCAGGGTGGGGGGCTCAGTTCTGCCTCCTCTGCAGCCTGTGTGACCTTAGAGAAGTTACTTTACCTCCCTGAACTTTGGTTTTTGCCTCCATGACATAAAAGTACAATGTCGGCACACGCAGAGGCGTGTCAGTCACTTTATCTGCTGGCCGAGAGGTCACGCAGTTGTGCGAGGCCACGAGAGGTCACGCAGTTGTGCGAGGCCACGCTTGCTCCGGCAGCCTGGCCCCAGAGCCCGCCTGGACCCCTCCGCCCCGCGCTGCACAGTGAGAGCCCGGGGCAGCGTCCAGTCCTCCCTGGAGGAGGCTGTGACCCCTCCGGGAGCCCGCTGCTCCCGGCACCTGCTCACCGCCCTGTGCGCCTGCGCCCGCAGAGCTGGAGGCCAAGGGGGACACGGACAGGCTCGCGGCCGAGGCGCTGGCGGAGCTGATGCACAAGCCGGAGCTGCTGGCGCTGACGGCGCACCTCGCCCCCGAGCGGACCGTGGCCTTCTGGGCGCCCGAGGCGGACGTGGAGGCGCTGGAGCTGGAGCTGGGGGCCGGGCTGCGCCTGAAGACTCGCGGCGACGGCCCCTTCCTGGGTGAGCAGCGGGGCCTGAGGGGCCCCTTGAGGCCGGGGCTCGGGCTTCTGCCCGAGAGCGTGGCGGAGCCCGGCCCGTTCCCTGGAGTCGCGCCCCTCGAGACTCACTCCCAAGGCCCAGACGGTGCCCTGAGCCCTCGGGGGACACTCCGGGTCCTGGGGTGCTGCCCAAGCTTGGGGCCTCCACGTCGTGGCTTGGGGCCCCCACCCAGGTGTCCCGACCGCGCCCAGGCTGGGGAAGCCGGCAGATGGCCCCACCGGTCCAGCGGTGAGAGAGGCCTTCACCTCCTCCCCTTCTTTCAGATTCGTTGGCCAAACTCGACGCTGGCACCGTGACCAGGTGTAATTTTGCTGGTGACGCGAAGACAGGGGCGTCCTGGACAGACAACATCATGGCCCAGAAGTCTGCGGAGGGGGCCGCGGCCGAGGCCCGCGAACAGGGGGACGGGGCGGAGGACGAGGAGTGGGTATGCGCGGGCGGCGGGCCCTGGGGGCGGCTTTGTCTCTGGCGGGTTTTGGGGGCGCCAGGCGGAGGCAGCCGACCCGCGGCCCCCGGCTGCGGTGGCGTCCCGAGCGTGTCAGTCGCTGGGTCAGCGGGGACCCTCCCTCCTGGGAGACAGAGGGCACTGCGCGGGGGGTGCAGAGGCGGGGGGCCGGGGGGCCTCGACAGCCTGGGTCTGGCTCCTGCCCGGGCCCTGACCTGCCTCGACAGTGGTTGCGCTTTTACTTTTCTGCGAAGCGTCAGCCGCCTCCGGACCCTCGGCCTGTTGGCACAGTTGGGTGCCGCCCCGAGGTGTGCCCGGCGGTGTGAGTTACCAAAAGGCCCCGGACGGGCGTTTAGCGCAGAGCCACGGGCGCACGGGCCGTGCTGCGGGTGACGCAGAGCGCCAGCGGAGGCAGGCAGGCGGGCGCAGCTCTGGGCTCCCGCTTGCGCCGGAAGGCGGGTCTCGGCCGAAGCCGCGGCTCAGCCGGGCAGCTCCCGGGCCAGCTGCGGCCGGCGGCCAGGGCCAGGCTCAGGCTCTCCAGGGCGGCGTCCGGCCTGGGTGTCTGATGCCCCTTACTCCTTCTCGCCTTCCTCCAGGACGACTGAGCTAGGGAGGAGGTGACCTGCCTCGCCCGCCCGCCAGCCCTGTTGAGAATTCCTCCGTCCTCCTCAGCTTCCACGGGCCCCCACGCCTGCCTGCTGCTCCCCTGCCCCGGGGCACCCTCTGAGAACCTGTGCCCGCCCAAGCCCGGGACCACAGTGGGCAGCGAGGACCCCTCGCTGGGCGTGAGCCTCAGCACCCAGCCCTTTCTCCATGGCCCTGGCCCTGAGCACAGCCTGGTTTCCGGAAGCTTCCGGGTGAGCTCCCTGGGAGTGGGAGGGAGCCAGGCTTGGTGCAGAGCAGGAGAGCAGCGGGGCCTCCTGGCCTCAGCCCTGGGGCTTCTGTTCCTCACCCAGGAGGCCACAGCCATGCCCCTCCCCCGTGGGCCCCTCCCCCCTCATTGCCATTTTGTACTGAGAACTTTCTTATGAATAAACGTCAGGAAAGGATTTCTCTGAAGCCCCTGGCCGCTCTGGGTGGGCACTGGACGCCAGGACCTGGTGCCCGGTGGCCGTGCACTGGCCTTGCTGTGGGCGTGGCTGTGCCCTGGCGGGTGGCAAGGCCTCGTAGAAGCCCGCATGCCCCAGAGGGGGAGGGACGCCGGGGCCCCTGTTTGGCGTGGGCGGTGAAGTCGCAACAAAGTCCTCCAGAGTCCACACACAGCCCCAGCTGGCCATGAAGGCAGTGCTACCCAGGCAGGACTGGAGGATGGTGCAAAGCACCGTGCCCCTTCTCGGAGGTCGTGTCGCCCCCTGCCGCCTGGGCCTTCAACACCCTGTGGCTGACGCCCAGAGGCTGGGGACAGTAGGTCCAGGAGAGGAACTTAGTGGCGGGCAGGCAGGCCTCAAAGTCCACGATCCACGCTGCGGCTGTCCTGCTTCCACGTGTACACTACAGTGGAGAAGAGGACCCCAGACAGGCCAGCTCGCCCAGTGGAAGTGGACTGGCTGAGAACCAGGGAGCAAGCGGCAGGGCCAGGCCCCGCTCCGGAGCTGCGGAAGCAAAGCCCACGCTTCCCCGGCCCTGCCCCCCGGCCATGGCAGGGCCTGGACACAGGCTCCAGAGTGGACAGGCGGGCCTGGCCCGTGGAGCGGGGTGTGTTCCCACACTTAGGGGCTTGCCCAAGGCCCGGCCTGGGTCTGCCCAGGCAGAAGTCAGCCCGGCTGCTGCCGGGAGTCGACCGGTTGATGTGCTTCCAGACGGCGAGTGTGGTCCAGGCGTTGATTCACCTTCCTGCTCACTGGGGCCGGGCTCCGCTCATGGCTGGGGGGCTTGGGGGTCGCCCTCGGGCCAGGCCACCTGAAGCCACAGGTCACAGCTCTCCCCTTATCTCTTCAGCCTTGTGATCCCTCGCCTGGCCTGGGCTGGTGGAGGAGCTGCCTCCTTGTGGCTCCCTGTCCTGCGTGCCGGAGCCTCGGTCTTGGGGCGGCCAGGGAGGCAGCTAAGCACCCAGCGTGCCTCAGGGCAGTGGGGCTGAGCGTGAACAGGCCACCATTGCCAGCTGGGGCCCAGTGTGCCAAAGGGGGAGCCCTGGACAGCAGGACAGGCACAGTGTCGTGTGAGGCTTCCAGAAGGAAAAGTCGGTTGTGGCTGGAGTCAGGGAGTGGCTGGTGGGGTGATGGGTTGGGACGAGGCGGCAGCAGAGGGCAGAGCATCTTCGACATGTTATGTTTGGGGGGGCTTTATCCCTAACACCCCGGAAGCCCGTGACCTGGAGAGTGGTGAGATCTGGTTTGTATAAAAATATTTTTAAAGATTTATTTATGCACACAAGGACTGGGCTACAGGCCAGAGGAGTGGGGGTGAGAGGGTTCACCAGAGACAAACTGGGGCACAGAACAGGCAGACGGACGGAGAGACACTGCTGAGGGGGCAGGGAGAGGCAGGAGAGGTCTGCTGCGCCCCTGGGGTTCCTCGCTGGCCGGGGAGGGAACTCGTGCTGCTGTGGCTGCGGAGAGCTTAACCCGTTGGGCCACCAGGGAGGGAGGGCCTCGTGGATAAGTTTAAATCGATGATAGAGCTCGGTCTTTCATATTCTTCCGTTTCAGAATTTGATATTCCTTCACAACACTTGAAACATTTTGTGGGGTTCTAGGCATCTTTCTTGCCTTTGGATTTTTTTTTTAATGATAAAAACTGACCACGAGTAATTCATGTGTATTTTAGAGAGAAGGGTTCGTCCAGCCACGCCTTTAAAGCCCCTCACGGGTGCTAACGCACAGCAATTTCTTTTGTGTTTATAAAACCTCTGTAAGTGGAATCGTTTTCCCCAAGTGGGAAAAACCAGTCCTGCAGGAAGCGAAGCCAATACCGGCAGGCCCGACCCTGGAGCCGGCAGGTGCAGCGGGCGCCCCCGCGCATGCGCCGCGGCGGGGCCCCCG